CCCTCCATGGCCTTCTACATTTGGTGCTTCTCTGCCAGCATCCCCTTTCACGTATGCCTAAGTTAAGACTAACTACCACCTTCCAACATATTTTTAAATGCCATCAAAACTGGAGGTGTTAAAGCTGCCTAATGCATCCCAAAACTCCACTATAAAGCTTTTCTTTCACCTCCTCCTGACTACTTGTGGTTCTTTTACAGAATGCCCTGCATCTGTTGCTTGCAAAAGATCCGTCACCTTTCCCTGAGAAGGCCTGAAGAGCAATCTGCTTTGTGGGCTTTTTTCAGCCAGGAGATTCATCTCAGTACCTGTACAATTCTGACAGTTCTCCACATGAGTTTGAAGCAGTATATTTTGTTTGTTCAGCACCCCTTGGAAGTGATGTACATTTCTCCAATTTGTCTGAATTGAGGTGGTAAAAGCATAAACTCATTGTGATTTATGCTGAAAGAATAAACCTTTATACTTCAGATCTGGGTCTAATGATACTAAGATTAATACTAATTAATGCTCATCCTGTGGTCAAGCAAGCACAGGCTTAGCCATCTTTCTCACCTAGTAGCTCATGAAATTGCTGTTTCGGCTTCTAACAAAAACACTGCCAATAATTTTGACTATTTACTCTGTTTCCACTTCTCTCCTGAGTTTCCCAGGTTAGCCTGTTCTCAGTTTATTCTCATGCCACAGAGCAGCTAAGTGTTTCACAAAACAGGATTCCTAGCTGATTGGATCATTCTTTTTCAATTATTTAAATGCAAGTTACTGATCATCATAATACCCTCATAAACCCTAAGATGGCATGTGATTTTACAGATACCAACCATTAAAGTATTGCAATAATGAGTAACATGGCAGGTTGTCATGACACTTTTCTAAATACCCCTTGCCATTACATTCTGCAATCAGTTAAATTAGTGTAGAGAGGATGTGAATTTAAATATACCCTGATATACATGTTTTCTGGGACTTAAATAGTAGTGCAATCTTCCCTATTTACTCTAGAAAGTATTTTTAGCACTGCTGCTCACTAGTTTTTAACTTAACTTCAGAACAGACTCTTCAGATAACATTCCTGTTCAATGTTTCTGTTGCCAATTTCTCAGCTTCTGTGACAGTTAGCAAGTGTTGCTTAAAATGAGCCTAAAAATACTTATCTAATACTACACAGAGAAGAGCACAAAATCATGACAAACACCACATGCTTGGATAGCTGAGGGCATACACATCTGCAATGCTTTTTCTCTTTCCCCAGGGTGGACAGCTACTCTATTAAAGCTGCTATTTTCAGGACTTTAAGAGTCCAGTTTAAAATTGTGCATGCCAACTATATTGTGGATATTTCCTCAAACACAGGACAAACACAAGCCAAAATCGCACAAAATTTTTTACAAAACCAAACATTAAATGCCTAATGTATTTGGAACCATTTGAAGTGATCTAACCTCTGGTACAGGAGTCTGTAGGTAGCTTACTAGTGAAAGGACAGATGTTGCTACAGGTGTTCATGCAGTTCAGAAACTGAATTAAAATAAAAACTAAAGCAGAAAAGGCCTAAAGGAGAGAGCAAAAATATATTCCTTATGGCTGCATGGCAGTCAAGAATTGACACAAAGGTTTAACTGATTTTGGCAGTCACAGTAAAAATAGACATATTTGACAGTTAAGTAATGACTTGGTCACCTAAAATTCTAAACACAGAAGGGCTTTCTGTGTATAGGAAGGCACCAGAAGAGATATATGACAAGGAATCAGCAAGCTAAGCTCACCCATTAAACCTAATATTTGTAAAATCATAATCATTGGTTCAAGCTTTATACATGGTTTTTTCCCCAAAACACCCTATGGAGCTGAAAGGATTTGTTATACCAATGCAGCCCACTAGAGGTCAAATTACATCCAGCAGTTTGAAAAATGTTTAGTAAAATAGGGCAAAATTTAGGCCACCATCCTCATATATTGCTAGAATCATCCAAGTTGCTGCATGTATCACAAAGTGACGAGTCCTTTAGAAGTTTTGCTCAAACCAAACAGAAAAAGCTCCTAATATGATGGTTGGAGTACAGAGATACAAACCAGATTAAATAATTGTTCCCATAATCCATTAATTAGATGGATTGGATGATTAGATTGTAGAAGTTTTCCTTAATAGAATACCATGGTATAAAGATTGTTAGTTCAGTTTTAGAGCAGCTGTGATGCTTTAAAATAGTGAAAATGGCAAACTAAACTAAAACCAAAACCTTAAGACTTGGTATGTCTGATATGACAGAAGAACTTCAATCCCTCTGTGTAAAAGACAGTAGTATCATTCACCTGATCATGCAGCAGAGCTACATCAGAATCTCAGAACACAAAACAGATACAGGTAAATATAAATATTAACTTGACAAAAATGGAACAACTCCAAGTCTAATCAGAACTCCTGTAATAGTACATTGTGAATGCAGGAAGAATCCCTTAGAACTGAATGATTTCCAAACATTTGATTTTGTGAATGTGTGATGTCCAAATACAAATAAAAGGTATTTCATTAATGCCTATGCTCTGTGCAATAGGAAGGGTTGTGTAACAGAGCTGTCAATCTGTTTTGTAAGGCCCCAATTTAAACTTAATTTACCTATTTCCCATGTCACTCTTTCACCCACTTGGAGAAACAGAAATGTTTGTAATTACAGCCTTCTGACTGGGAACCAGTTTCCTGACCTGTTGGTAGCCTGTAACTTAAAGCAGCTATCCAGCAAAATTCCACTTAAAATTTTACAGGAAAATGATATCAGGTAAGATGATGTCCCAAGACCAGGATAAAAAAAAAGATGAGTGGTCAAAAATGTCATTGCCCACCTATATCTGTGAGTTTTAATATTTTCCACATTAAGATTTTCTTATAATGTTTTTCACATTACAAAAAAACCCATAACCAACCAAAAAACAAAACCAAAAGAACAAAATAATAAATGTCAGGTTTTGCCTTCCACTTCTGTACAGGAAGGAGACCCTTAATGACTAGTCTGCACTGTGTCAGCAGGTACCCCTGAATGGTTCAGACTGAGTTGCAAGTTGTATATTGTATTTCCTGAGCTACCATGAAAAGTTACAGAATTAGTGACAGCCTAAAGATCACAGTATATAACCCATAGCCACTGGATTAAACTGCTTTCACCCAGTTTTTCTGCTTCACTCACTCCAGGTGCTTAACTCATCTTCCATCGTAACTAAGGGGGCATAAGGAAATTGCACACAGAACAGAGTTCCCTTTGGGCACGAATCAGTGTTCCCCAAAGACTCAGAATGTTTTTACTAGATCTCACCTCCTCAACCATATGCTTGACTTTCTTCTGTTGGCAGTGGACCATATCATCCAGATGTTTGATTCGCTCTCTCAGGCTGGCTGCTACCTCCTCCAAATGCTGTGACCTAGCAAAAAGTTCAAGAATCAAGCATGTAAGTGGGGAGCTATGCAGGATAAGCTAAACAAGAACAACCCCATAATCCACCATAAATCAGGACAGGCAAGTCAAATTCCACTGACAGATGTGAATTTGACCAAAGTACATTTTAATGGTAATCTCAGTCACAGTGTCTGTCTCCACCCAAGGTAACTCACCTTTGTCTAGCATACTTGGCAAGCTTACTCAGAGCCTGAAGTGCTGACAATTAAACAATGTGACAAAACTCATCTCGAGATGTGTTCTTCCTTTAAGTGAAAGGCTTTTAGACAACTAGGTCTTTGTCATTAGAAAGACACATTTAGCCTGACTTATTACCACCTGCAAACATTTTGGAAAGGCATACTAAACAAAAGCCTTACATCAAGTATCTGGCACAGCTGCCAACAGCAGCAGAATGCTTGACAATTAAACAATGTGACAAAACTCATCTCGAGATGTGTTCTTCCTTTAAGTGAAAGGCTTTTAGACAACTAGGTCTTTGTCATTAGAAAGACACATTTAGCCTGACTTATTACCACCTGCAAACATTTTGGAAAGGCATACTAAACAAAAGCCTTACATCAAGTATCTGGCACAGCTGCCAACAGCAGCAGAATGCTAACTGCAACTAACTCATTA